CCCTAGCTGGAGGACTCCTCACCTTGTAGAAAATGCAACCACTGTGAGACCAAACAGCTGTGTTCACATAGCGCTGTTGGAGTTGATACTTCCAGTCCAGGTGATTTGCAGTGCCAGAGCAACTTGGACAAGCATGGGGCAGCCATGGACATAGTATCTCCCTTATGGAGCAGCTGCTCCCCGGTACCCAACACACTCATGGGCATGGGTCACACCGTGTGCTGATCACCAATTCAGTTTCACATTGGCTGTTTGTCACATAGATGTTCTGTCTCCATAATTCCTGTTGAAATGATTTGGAGAATGGTTTCTGTTCATTTTAATGTTATTTGGAATGAGAGAGAGTAGTTTTACAACGTTATATCACAGCCTCGGTCTTTATGTAAAACTGTAGAAGGTTTATGAATTTCATTTGAGGATATGGGCATCACCAGCCCTGTTGTGCCATTTCTTAATTCCTGTATAACGTGGTCTTTTAGGTATATATGCACACATGCATAGATGGTACAATTCTGAAATGGCTGGTGTGAAATACCTAAATATGTAACACATACACAGTGGCACTATAGACTGGATGTATTATGGCCTCAAACCATTATTACCTCCCCCTCCCCTCTTACAGTTGCATTTTATTTTTTTCACCTGCTCCTATGAAGTACACCTGTGAATTGTTGGCAGGGAATTTTGCTGCAGTGTGGGAGACTCCCAGCTTGACTGCATGGCTTGGAACTTGGCTCTGTCATGTGCTGCTTTTCTCTCTGTGTGTTTTCTCTCAATCTTTATGTAGCTTGTAAGAGTTCCTTTAACTGCTGTAAGTGATCATCTTTCAAGACCAATGCTTTTCTTCTTGACATAGCGCTCTGAAAATGGAGAATGTCATGCTAGTGTTTTCATAATAATGCACATAGAAAAAGAACTATTCATTGTAGATGTCCTGCACAAATGGCTTGATCCATATCCAAAGGGCAGGCAGGGGGTGTCCCCAGGGAAGATGTGGAGTGCAATCAGTGCGTACAGGGACAGTAACCAACCACTCTTTGAAATCTTTTTATTTCCTGCAAAACCTGTCGCCCAGTTCCTTGGTCACAGATACTTCCGCAAATGGTTCATTTGGGGATTGTGCAGCAAGTAGAAAATTCCACTTAAACACTGAGACAGCCCTGGGGCTCAGGGTGGTTGCATTTTTCCACCTGATCTGGCTATCAGAATTGCTATCCATTTTGTGTGATTATTAAGAAAAGAAAAAAAAAAAAAAATTTTCCAACCTTGCCCTATAAATAAGCTGTGACTTACTTGATCTTGACAGGTGACTTAGTGCTGCTATAGAATTTTCCAGCTGCAGTAATGTCTCAGTATGATGTATTCTGTGGGGTATCAGCTGCGAGCCATGCGTAAACCTGGGGACCTAACAGGAGCTGAAAAGAGCCATTTTTAATGCTCAGCTTCCAAATTATGTCCTGCCTCCTGCCAGCCCCAAATGTGTACTCATGTGGATGTGCAAATACATGCGTAAGCATGCCTGGAGAGCCCTCTTTTTTGTGGCTGCTGTATTTTCCTTTGGAAATCACCATTAAGATATATATTTATTTATTTTAAATATAAACTCTGGAATTGACAAGTCATATGAGAGCTCTTCCCGCTCGCCTGCCTGCCCTCCTGTTGAGAAGGGGTGGGAAGTTTGCTGATGAGTCAACGGAAGGCTACGTGGGTGGAAGCATTCCCGTGGCATTGCACATTTCAAGATGCTTGGTCCCTCCTGGACTTCCAGGTTTCATCCTGGCATAGCTCTCAGTAGCAGAGGGGTAAGCTATTTCTGCTAAGGCCTGTCACGTTCTGACTGCCAGAATTAAATTTTTATAATTGGTCTGAAATCAAGGTCAGCAGGGGCAATTTGTTAGTGGGCTTGCATAGAGATGCCCGATGTTAAAGTTGTTTTGTAAGCATGCCATGCATGGGTTAAACATGCAAAGAACACGTGGGAAAAGAGACATAAGCGTTGAATTTGGACCCTTTCTGACATCTGCAAAATGTGGTTCCAGGAAGCTCCATGCACACAGGGCAGAGTGAGTAAAGCAAGAAGATGTGATGTGATGACAACTTGCAGTAGGAAACACAGAGGTTGGCTTTTTTGGGAGGCATGTTTGTGTGGTCTGAAACACATTTCCAATTGTGAAAAACCTGTGCTGGCTGCAGAGGATATGGGCAGGCTTTAGGAAATCTTCTGAAATCACCAGTGGTGTGAAGCAGTTGTCCATGCAGGGACGTGGTCGTTGGGTGCTCATAAGCCCTAGGGTGGGCAAGACTGGTGGGTTTGTGTGGGCATGGGTTGTGTGGGATCTGCTCACAGACAGACAAGGAGGATTCCCCATGCTCAGACTCTTTTATTCCTAGATGTCACAGGTACATTTGTGAAAATGTTGTAAGATGTGGCTTTATTTATTAACTGCTTGGTCCTGGGACTAGTCGGCATATTGATTGCCAATAATGCTTGCAAAGGGAATAAATGGTCCATTCCCAAGATAGTAAAACAGTCTGCATATGCAATGTGTGCTTTTTTTCGTTCTACACTGATGGCTCTGTAGCATGCTTAGTTTCTCAGCTCCTTTCTGACTCAGCTCTGAATAGCTGCAGGATTTGAGTATAATCTGTTGTTAGTTTGTGTAAATTCTGTTCAGAAAAACAGTGTATTGGTTGCATTAGGAATGTTCAGAACGTATTATTAACCTATGTTTGAGGAGGGAGGGCTCACAATGAAAGCTTCATTATCAGATTAAGAGCCACATACCATTCCTTTATTGACCTGCCTGGTATAATCAATGCAGCAGCCACACAAGTTTGAAATCATGTGCCCTGACTGTAGACTGTGCGTCATGCATCTAGTGCTGATCGTGCATTATCTTTTAAATGACACTGCCTAAATAAGTATGGATTTGTCTACTGTGCATAGCCTTCTTTCGATTGGAAAACGGTAAACGTTTCACTCTTTTTTATTGATATTCAGGAGGAACTGAAAATAGAACTGTAATGAAGTGCACTAGAAATGCCCATTGTTAAAATGCTTGGCCTGAGCACAGCGCACCTTGTGTAATTTTTAATATTTGTAGATGTTTCTCTGGTTATGTTTAGTGGACCAGCTTCTTGTTGGTGCTGTGGTGATGCCTGCAGGGTTCCATTCATCCCCACCTATAACTTGTTACTTGATCTCAGATCAGCATTATCACTGTAAGGGTTGTTCCTCTTTAAAGCTAGGAAAATCTGTGTGTACAACAGAGCAAAAAGCCATTGGATATTATGCTTGGTAATGACAAATTGTCTAGAAGCAAAGCCATTTCAGCTATCACCTCGGTTGATGATATTCAGATATAATGCTTTATCCCTTGATAGGCTTTCCAAGTCTTTGGACAGTACTTCTGTTTTTTGATCCTGAAATATTAGCATCACTATCTGGGACTGTGTTCACAGGGTTGATGTTATGCTAAACAAGGTGCAGTTATTTTACTCTTTTCATCATTTGATTGCCATTTAATTTCACAAGGGATCCTTCTGAGTGTGCTCCAGCGATAATTCTTCTGCCTTCTCTCTAACCTTTTGTGGCGTTAAAGCCTGACCGCTATTGTGCACTTTCCTCTCAGCCCATCTGTACAATATCGCAGGTAACTTTTGTCATGATGTATAAAGTCAGCAGCACTTCTGACACCTGGTGGTCAGCTTTTGGGAGTGCACAGTCCAGAAATCCTGACTGCAAACGGGGTCACTGCTGCCTGCACGCCCAAGCATCACAGGCTGCCCTCTAGCTCCTTCCACAGATGCTTTTCATTAGGGAGATGTCATTTCTGGATAAAGTGGAGGATCGTTTTTCTTTCCTGATTGAGATGTAACTGTGGATAATTTAGAAGAGCCAGATGATTTATTAAAAGTTAAAGTATCTTACTTTATTTTAAAGCACTGTTGTTGTAAATAAATAATTGGATTCAAAATTCATTTCATGTTTAAAAACATATTATTCAAGCTGATGGACTTTCCCAGCTCTGTTATTAGGCAGATGGAAACCAGTGAAGTTGCATAAGTTTGAAATAATGCACATGAATTTTTATATTTGTGAATGCTTGGGGACCCAACAAAAGCTCACCATGAAGCTCCTCTCCAGTTGCTCCAACAGTTGAATAATCATACAAATGAAGCTGTGCTTATGTGAAGGACTGGGGTTTTGGTCAGCATGCAAATTGTAGGTGAGTCAGTACCGCTCTGAGAATGTGCTTCCAAGATTGGCTTTGCTATTTATTGGCTCCAGCACAAAGTGGCAAGACAGGTCAGCATTCTCTGATGAGATATTCTGTGGTGACACAAGGCTTTTAGAGATCCACCCAAAAAGGAATAAAAAAAGACTTTGCTGAAAGAAATGTGTAGGGCAAGGTCTGTTCTTAAAGCGATTTACCTTCTGGGTTACATATCCAGTCTTCTTTCTACTGGGGATTAATATCCCTGTTGCCTGAATTGGTGGTTCAGCTGTTCTTGCTGAAGTATTTCTTGGACTGAGGAGTATGTGTCACAATCTGGTGTCTCTCTCTGCCAGCACTTGCACCCGTTACTAGTGATAATAAAAGAGTAAAATATGGCTCGGGCTCCCACAGTGATTCACTTTTTTTTTAATGGTTACTCTTAAGGGAATCCCTAAAGGCATATTTTGCCCATGAAGTGTTACCACTTTCTTTATATGTATTGAAGGAGGGAAAAAAGAGAAAGAAGCCCTCATGGCTGTATTTGGCTTGTAGAATTTTTTGTCTAAGTCCATGCCAGTATTAACAGATCTATCAGAACAAAGCAAATGTGTCATATTGGCAGCTGTTACAGTAAAGAAAAAGTACTCGTAAGTATTTTGTTTTGTAATAATTGAGAAGCTTTTATGTTGAGCTCTGCATAAATGGTACTGAGTAGGAGGGTATGGGCATGCTTTCTATTATTCTGCCCCTCATGCATGTCTCCTTTTTTCGTCTTTCCAGAACCACACATTGAGCCAGCACGCACAGTGAGCCACTGGCACTACAGGACACCTCTCTGCAGAAGACTTGACGGTGGCACAGTGGGGAGGACCATTTGAACATTACATCCAATCAAAGTGTCATTTGCAACCCAGATGTAAAACTCTAATGATTTGGCCATGAGGCGCTGCTATTATAAGCAGCTGGAAATGAATATTAATGGAAGAGATTAAAAGTATTCCATGCTCAGTATTTTTTATTGTCCTGCTTCAGCTAGTGTACTTTAGAGCTTCTGCTTCTGACTGAATTTATAGTGTTAGCTAAATCTGCTTTGATGCTGTTGCCCTTTGTTGCTTCTTGTATTATATTGATAGTTAAAAATTAGATGTGTTTTTTTTTAAGCTGCTTTTTAATTGCAATTTTAGGTAACTGTGCATTGTGATGTGATTGCTTGGCTATTGTCTGAATATTTCTTTTTCTTTTTTTAATTAAAGACTAATGCTTTGATTGGATTTGCCAGTTCACCGGACAGTGATTAAAACTATGTAATGAATATAATCGGTTTCAGTGCAACTGGATGGTCTGCTTTATAAATGTGACTTATCTGATTGCAATAACTAGTACAGTTCAATAAAGGGAATACATGAGCTTAGTGTTGGAGTTGGTCTGTCTGTCAGTCTGTGCCACGTGTCACCACTGCTGGCTCACGTGTAAATTATACAAACCAGTGGCTCACCCAGCAACAGAGTTCTGCACCCCATGAGGAAGGAAGACTGGAAGAAAAGCAGAAGCCCTGCCCTTGTGCCTGGTGGTGTGTTCTCTCCAGATGCGCGTCCCAGACTGAGGTAAGCACATCTCTTACAGATCTGGGCATCAAAAGGAGTTGCTAGCTTATGAATAATCTTCACCTTAAATCAGCAAAAATAGAGGGAAACTGGTCTATGGGTGCCTTGAACCTATCTCTATGTTCCTTTGTTTCAATACAAAAATTAGTTTTCTGGATTGTATGTAGATGTGCAAATACTGGATCAGGTCTCTTCATCTGAGACTGCATTTCAATCACATGGATTTCTAGGCCCACAGGTGTTGTATCTCTGTGTGACTGCCATACGTCTGGTGCTTTGAATTGCCATTATACAGTCTAATATCATTAGCAGGCTTTTTTCTTTCTTTTTAAACATAGCATATGGTAATGAAGTAAGCTAGATCTCCAGTCAGTGAAATAGTCATTTTAAGGACTGTGAACATCTTTGAAAAGTTAGTGAGATGCAGTTATAGCATCTCCTACCTGAATGAACTGTAATTGTTGTGGAAAATGTTCAGCAGTTGTGACAGCTGAAATGAATGTGGTTACCCATTCCCATGATGTACAAGGCTTTGCAGGACTGCAGCATAGCAATGTGCGCATTTAGAGCGTTTCAGATCTGTGTTGACCTGGAGCAAGCACTACTGGTCGTTGTCATTGTATTGTGTCTGTGCCTGGAGCACATATGTGATGTTTTGTTCAAAATGTTTTCAAGGAAGCATTGTGCCCACATCACTTTTTGCAGTAAGAGTGTTAACAAGTGCAGGGGCACAGCTTGTTGACACTGCAGATGTTTTCAGTGGGTAGATTTCTGCTGATGTTGGTATCTGTGTTGCACAAACATAGTTCCAGCAAGACAGTGTTCCACTGTGCACAGAAGGGAGGGCTACCAGACATGACCAAGGCAGGGTTATCCCTCTGGTAGGAAGCACCAGAGCAGGTGCAAATTCTTGCTTGAGAAAAGTTCCAACTTTCTTAAAAGAATGATGCAATGTCCCATTTGGGGCAAAGGATAGGTTCATTTCCTAATCTGCCAGTTATTCTGCTAAAATAGGATTGCATGGACATTCAGAAAAAGTTTGGATTTGACATTTTGTTTTTGTGATTCAGAAATTTGAGCCCTACTATAACAAAAGTGGAAATGACGTTTCTTAATTTCAAAGAGGACAGTTCTGTTTTCATCTAGATAATCCTTAGCTGTTGATGTTGTTTATGCGATAAAATCATTTTACTAAAATGATCCGTTTATTAAAAAAATTAATTTTCTACTTGATTATTTCTCTGTAAGACACTGCACAAATACTTTTTGCTAAAAAAGATAATGAAATCACCAGTTCTCATTCATAATATATGCATACTTCTAACTCAAAGGCAACATTTTAAGATGTGAAATTGAAGTGTCTTGTAGTACAGGTCATAGTCATACCCTGGTAAGAAAAAACTATCTGTGAATATACATCAGCCGCTCTGGTAACAGTTTGTGCCATCTTTCCCTCTGTGGTAAAAGCAAGGCAGCATTTCTGGGCAGAGTTTCTCACAACAGGGATACCGAAAAGGGAGGCTCTTTGCCTGATGCTGGGTTTGGAATGATACTTGATTGCTTCTGGGCAGTGCTTCAGAAATGAAAAGTTAGATTTGGGTTTGAATGTTCAGGAAAGGATTCTGTGCTGGGAATCCCAAGGGGGAAGTGATGTTTTCATGCAACTCTGAAAGCTGCTTTACTAGTGTTGTGCTGAAGCACGTGTCTTTGTCTCAGTGTCTCCCTGCTGAGTACCTATAACTAGGTGTATATTCACTGTGCTGAGATGGAAATGCCCTCATGTGAGGATCCTACTCTGAGCTGTGTAATTTTCTCCACCTGACTGGGAAGGTGGGCATAGGGCCGCTGTGCTGGGGCCTGAGCTCAGCCTGGTGGTGCTAAGCCGGTGTGCACCTGTGCTGCATGTTGCATCTGCCTGGAATCCTCCCCAGCTCATGAATGAAGAAGGGCAGAGGTAGAGGGGAGGAATAGTTTGGTTTCTACTCTTGCATTAAAAAGTTCGGGCCTGAGGGGCTGTGGCCCTCCTTCGTATTCTCTGCAGTATAAGAACTTCACTGGTGGGCAGCACAAGTGAGACCAGAGAGAGGAGCTGGACTGCACCCATGAAGCTGGAAAAAAAACGAGTTGCAGTCCTCTTTTGCAAGGGCTCTGTATCTAACAGTATTTGGGTGCTGTTTGAATGGTAATGGACAGATGTTGCTGTTGGATTTTTTTTAAGATATTATTTACCAAGTCTGGGGACACTTAGCATGAATCTCCTGAGATTGGTTTGTGGGATTTTTGGATATAACTAGGCCTACATAAAAAGTCATTATCATAACTCCAGCGCACTCTGTGAGGGATGCTGCTGTCTTGCTACTTGCTTTTTAATGGGCTAAAGAAGATCCAGTTGTGGGTGTGGGGATGCTGCTGCTGCAAGGAAGCAGAAGGAGAGCTGTCTGCTCTGCTGCTTTACCAGAGAGCTGCATCTGTGATGCACTGGGCATCTGCAGCTCCCAGAGGTGCATGTTCTCAGCCTGTGCCTGAATGCAGCATTGCTGTCTGACCCTTTTTTGTGAGGGCTGAGCTTCCCTAGGTGGTGCTGCACCCAGCTAGGCTGCAGCTGACAGCTCTGTAGTGCAGTGTGGGGCCTTTGTCTGGTGGTCTTGTGTGGCTGCTTTTTCTGTGCCATTGTGTCCCACTTGGGAGTGGGGGTAGCACAGCCCCGTGCTGGTACAAAACACAGCTTTGCTGGCATAGCTGCAGTCACACCAGGGAGTGCTTTGCCAGTGTAGTATATAGTTCCTGTATCAGTTAAAAGCTCCTAGGGAAAACAGATCCTAACTGTGCAGGTGGAGAAAGATAATATCACAGCTTCTAGTACGTTTAAGGTTTTTCCCCTTTTTTCTTAGCAGCCAAGAAGTGCTACAAAAGGCATTTGGAAAACAGTCAGATATATTGGATCCAAATGCACCTGTATTTCAACAGCTACAACACATCAAAAATGTGATGGAGAGACTCAGTAATCCCACACCTTCTCCCTTCCTACCCATGTAACTCACAGCTTCTGTGCTGGAGATCGGCTTCTGTGCAGCAGTGTTGCAGACGCAGGCTGGGACCAGCTGTTCAAGGCCCAGGTGGTGCAAATGATTCACAGGTAAGTGCAAACCAGAACCGCTGAAGTTCTTGCTGCAGAATTTAGGCAAGAGGCAATTTAGGACTTAAGGCAAAGAGTCACTTTGTGATCTGAGTGGTGTTAGAACCAGTGAAATGTTGTAGCAATGAAAACAAGTTTTAAATGTGTAAAAAGTTGTACACTTTATTTAAGAGTTTAAAAACTAGGGGAAATCCTGAAATATAAACTCGTGTTAGAAATGGATTAATAGCAGACTTGTATTTGCAGCAGTCTAGTATACTAGCTGTTGTACATTGAATGAATTTCCATTTAGCTTCGCTGCGTACCCACATATCCAAAAAGCACTGATCTCAGCACCTATGTAGTCACTTTGCATATTTGTATTTTGTTTTCAGTGCATCTGTAGATACTTATCTGTTGACCAATCAAACATAAAAGCAGAATAAGATTTTCTCACACTGTATCTGTTCATAGTTGATCACCTTTGCCACAGGGATCACAGCTTTTTGTCAGGTGTTGTAGAGTTTTGGAAAAAGCAAGTGCTTTAGTCCATTGCTAGAAGAGGTAATAAAAGAAGTTTGGGAAATATCTGAGGGAGGGAGTGATGGGTCATTTCATGTTGGAGCACCTTTGAAAGGACAGGGAGAGGACACCCCCACTGAGCTCAGAGGAAATAAGAAGGAAAAATGACCTGGGTAGGAAATACCCCATACTGAGTCGTCCATGTCCTCAGCCCTGGGCTAGTGAATGAGGGAGCTGGTGGGAAAGCAGCAGAAAACCTGAGGCATGGTAGAGGCAAAGGGCTGCCCTTTCAACAACCTTCCTGCTTACCACAGGTGTTACTGGAAAATCCACTCCCTGGGAGCTGTTTCCACTGAAGTGAATCCGTGCATCCCAGTGTCCCAAATGTGCATCTCACTCTGCCTACCCCACCATCTAGGAGCAGACCATTTTCTGGTGTGTGTGTTTATGAGGCTTTTAGCATGTGTAAGTCACTCTCTGGCACAGGCAGTGAAGGTTCTTTGCCTGCTTTGAGTAAGCAGTGTTCACATTTTGGCCCACATCCTAAAGTAGAGAGTTTGTGCAATTCTTTCTCAACCACCACAGAACAACTCACTGGTTCTGGCCGTGTTTGAGAGAGGTGTGGTGGCCTTGTGGGTCTGTATGCCTAAGCTTTCTGATGGTACTTAACCACAGCAAGAGGAACACTTTAAGTGCCATCATGGAAGAAAACGTGTGAGAACAACAGACACACTTGATCCTAGAAAGCTATGTGGAAGGAGCTGCAGCAGCTGCTGGACTTCAGCTGGTGTTCCTCCCTTGCTGCACAGTAGTCTCAAGGCATTAGACCTCCTCCATCCACAGGAAGGCAGCTCCAGTACTCACAGAATCTCATACTAAATATACAGCCTTACTCTTCAGATCAAACTCTCTTTCCTTATCGTTCTCCTCCTTCTTTGCCCAGCAAGTGCAGGGGATTTCTGTCTTGGGGAGCCACCTTTGTGAAACTCCCAAACACTTAAGTGCAATTTCCTTCTTGTCCAATGGAAGTCTTACATTTGCAGCTTGCTCTGGTAGAGGAAGCTCTACATTTGCAGCACAATTCATGCGCGTGATTTCAAGAAGTCTGAGGCTGGAGCAGTGCTGGGGAGTTGGAGCAACTCCTGTACTGTGCTGCTCCAGGAGG